GGCTGACGCCTCAGTGCCCCTCACATCACCCGGGAAGGGCAGAGGCTGACGCCTCAGTGCCCCTCACATCCCCCGGGAAGGGCAGAGGCTGACGCCTCAGGGCCCCTCACATCCCCCGGGAAGGGCAGAGGCTGACACCTCAGGGCCCCTCAGATCCCCCGGAAAGGGCAGAGGCTGAGGGCAGGAGCCGTGCTGGGTGCCGGGCAGGCCTGGGGCTTCATGCCGCTGTCCTGCGGGACGTGGGGAGGGCTGCTTGTCGGGGTGGGGGCGCCCCCACCTGTGCCCAGCGCCCTCCTGACATCCTGAATCCGCTGGGACATCTGCCTGCAGCGCTGGGAGTCAAACTCCAGCCAGAGAAAAGGGCAGAGCCAAGAGCCCAGGTCCACCGCAGCCCCGCAGCCTCGAGCCAGGCAGCCACACCCTGGGCCCGTCTCCCCTTCTGTGTGTGGGTGACAGCACCATAGCCCTGGTGAAAGGGACAGTCCCCGGGGACGGCCAGGGCTCCACCCCCAGCCGCCGCCTTCCACATAAACGCAGGAACACTGGGCCGGGGCACTTGCTGGGAGGCGCTGAGCAGCCTGACGGGAAAACCCTTCTGTGAAGGGAGGGTCGTGCCCGGCCAGAGAGCCTCTGCGCACCCTGCAGAGAAGGGGGCCCTGCCCCAGGGGACACCCGGCGGCCCCAGGGGACACTTTTGGCTGGCATGGAGCAGGTGGAGGCCAGAGCTGCGCCCAGGATGACCCCAGGCTGTCAGCGTCGGGAGATCTGCACACATGGACCAGCTCAGAGGCCGCTGCCATTTGAGCTCTGTTGCCGGGTCCACGGCTGAAATAGAACTTGCTGGCACCCCACGCAGGAACCTAACGTGTGCCTCAGAGAAACAGGTCAGCAGGCCGGGCGCGGTGACTCACGCCTGTAATCCCACCACTTTGGGAGGCCGAGGCAGGCAAGTCATGAGGTCAGGAGATCAAGACCGTCTGGATCAACATGGTGAAACCCCGTCTCTACTAAAATACAAAAAATTAGCTGGGTGTAGTGGCGCATGCCTATAATTCCAGCTACTTGAGAGGCTGAGGCAGGGGAATCGCTTGAACCCGGGAGGCGGAGTGAGCTGAGGTCGTGCCACTGCACTCCAGCCTGGGCGACAGAGCGAGATTCCATCTCAAAAAAAAGAAAGAAACAGGTCAGCAGTTGTTTCTAAAACGGAGCGTGAAATGAGCAGGCAGTCCAGCACGTCCCGGGGCAGTGAAATCCCCGGGGCAGCGAAATCCCAGTTCACACAGAGGCCTCAGCAGCTCATTCACAAGCCCAAGCCTGGGTGCCCCGGTGTCCTCAGGCAGCGAGGTGGGGGCTGCACAACAGAGAGAGGCGGCCTGGGGGCACAGAACCAGCCACTCTCCAGGAAATTGCCAGCAGTGAAAATCAGCCAACTCCAAACTGTTGCAAACTGTGCTTCCGCTTAGGAAGCACTCCTGAGAGGCAAGGCGATGGGGAGAGGACGTCCCACCTCCTGTCATGCAGCAGGCTCCTGGGGCGGGGAGGGCACCAGGGCGGCCACTTCTCACCACTGTCTGATCTGTGAGCACTGCGGCCTCACAGCCCCCACCAGGGTGCCAGTGTCCTCAGGGCCCAGCGCCCCTGAGGCTCATGCCTGAGTGGGGCGACCTGATCGGTCCTGCTCCTCCGGCCACCCCGGCCACCCCACGGGAGGGAAGTCCCAGCCTCACAGGCAGGCACACACCCGGCAGCATCTCTGACAACGGCCGTCCAGTTCGAGTCCCCAGGCCTCGCAACCGCAAGCCTCACCTGCCCAGCCCTCCCCTCCAGCTCCAACTCCACTCCCAAGGACCAGCACGGACACACAGAACCCAAGCGTCGCCCCGCTGAACGCCTCCTGACTCAAAACTCCATCTTCCAACACGAAAACGGCGCGAGGCTCCGCCTTTCCAGCAGGAAAACGGCTCGGCCAGGGCACTGTGACCCAGAGCGGGCGGCCTGGCCTGTCGCGCAGACCTGGGGCCTAAAACACAGTTGTTCTCTTAGTCTGGAGATCAAGGACAATGCAAGGTGACTTCCCCACCTCGGTGGCCTCCATGCAACCTCGTCTTCGGGTGCTGGGTACGTTACCTCGTGAGGTGCCGAGTCCGCGGGTCCCGGAGTTGGGATGTGCACACCCTCAGGGTTGGCACTCTGCCCTGGCGGCCACAGCCATGAAGTCCCAACGCTTCTCTAGGCTCCACGACCCCAGAGGGCGGCCACCAGGAGGGCTCACCACGGCGTTGCGGTAGCAGAAGTCCAGCAAGTGCCCTGGGCACGGTCAGAACAGGTGGGATCCGAGTTACCTGGCCAAGGGGGCCGACGCAGACACGTCGCGGGACACGGTGAAGAGGGCGGTGTGGAGCGGAGCGGAGGGCGGGAGTCTTTGGAGAACAGGTGGGGGCGTGGGGCACGCACCTCCGGCTCACAGGAGCCGTCCGCAGTGGAAGGACACGGGTGGTCCTGCTGGAGTCCTCTCCGTTATCCGTCTCCATCGTCTGAGTCTTTGGTCTCAGGGTTGTGGATCCTCAGCAACTGAGACGAACCCACCGTCCTGGCCCCCAGCCCACACGTCCCCAGGCCTTGCCCCAGCTGGCTGCACCCCAGGCCAGGCATCCAGCCACCTTGAGCAGTGGGGTCTGGCTCCTCAGAGGGGCCAGGAACCCGCGTAGCTGCGGTGGAAGCCTGAGGTGCGACCGAGGGTGAGGTGGAGGTGCTGGCCCCTGGTGCTTTAACAGTGGTGTTTCTGGTTTTATATTTCACGACCCGGTGTCACCGCCACCCTACCTCGCCAGCAGCCCTCCTGGGCTTAACCTCGGGGGAGCGGGCTTGCTAGTAGGTCCTGGGCGCCAGGCCCTGCAGGAGGCACAGGCCCCTGGAGACAGGACCGGGCTGTGCGGAGCCCAGCCAGCCTCCCAGCTTGGCCCTTTCCCGACACATGGGCGCAGAAGGAAAGCCACAGCACCGGCTTCTCTTTGTAAGTAGTGTATTTTAAATAGCTTTCAAGATACACATATTTTTTCCTTTAAAAAAGTCTGTTGGAGCAATTTTGTTCTTGAATTTTGCTGGTCATCCTCATGGTCCCGAGCCCCCGAACTCCGGGTCGTGGAGGCGGCCGAGGGGAGGCCGGGGGCCCACGCAGCCTGTCCTGGCGGCACCTGCAGCACTGTGGGGCAGCTGCGCCCCGTCTTTTGCCACAAATCATGCATGGCCGCCGTGTGAGCTAAAACGTCCATTTATTTCAAAGCAGTAATAATTTAAAATTATAAAAATCTTTCCACCGCTGAACGTTTAGAGGGTGAGGTTAGACAAAGGACGGGGAGGCTGGGGACGCCCCAGCGGGGACCATGTGGCCCACGCCTTCCCGAGCCAGGGGGCCAGTGGGCCGGGCCCGGATCCTGCCCTGGAACAGGCGGGACCTGCAGCGCTGACCAGCCAAGCGTGGCCCACCGGGGCACCAGTCCGTGGGTGCCGTGTGGCGCCGGCTGCGGGTGGCTGGGAAAGGACCCGTGCTTTCCCGGCGGCCGACGCGGGCTCACGAGTTGCCTGTGGCGTTCTCGTTGCTGGGCGAGCTGGAGGAGGAGGAGGACGACGAGGAGGAGAAGCTCACCCCAGTGAGGCCCGGGGGGTTCGTGGCCGTGTTCTGTCCCGTGAGGCTTTTTCGGCAGACGGGGCAGCTGTCGTGCTTTGTGGGGACAGAGGCGGGGACGGGAGAAGGGGCAGGTTAGAGGCGGGAGGGCCGCGGTCGGGGGGGCGGGTGGGCAGGGCACTCACCTGCTCCAGCCAGGGCACGATGCAGCCGTCGTGGAACAGGTGGTTGCAGGGCAGCTGCCGCACACGCTCACCCAGCGCGTAGTCGTCCTTGCACACAGGGCACTCGAGCCCGGAGCCTGCGGGAGTGTGTGGCTGCGGTCACAGGGGGCACAGGGGGCCTGCCGAGCCTTCAAGGGCGGGCTTCTCCACTGCCTCAGTCAGAGGCCACCCCTGAGCCCAGTGAAGGGAGAAAAGCCATGTGTGCGCCCCCCCGGGCCGTCAGAGGGAACCTGGACAGAACCCTCTCCTCCCAGCCGACCTTCAGGAAAATGCCAGAGGCCGGGCGCAGTGGCTCAAGTCTGTCATCCTAGCACTTTGGGGAATCAAGGTAGGAGGATCACCTGAGGTCAGGAGTTCCAGACCTGCCTGGCCAATATGGTGAAACCCCGTCTCTACTGAAAATACAAGTATTAGCCGGGCGAGGTGGCGACTGCCTGTAATCCTGGCTACTTGGCAGGCTGAGCTCTCATACCTACGTGCTCCTCGGTGACGGGGACGGTGGGGAGGGCCTGGATTTTCTCTTTATCTGCCGGTGGGGGGCCCGTGTTTTCAAACTGATTGAGGAGCTGAAAGACAAGAGGCGAGAGTGCCGGGAGCTCCTCGGGGGCCCGGCCCGGGGCTCTGAAACGCGAGGCTGCAGGACCTGCAAAAGCACCGAGGCCGCATTTGTCCTGGGCCCTGGCCCCTTGGAGCCCGCCCCGGGTCGGAGGTCACTGCGGAGCCCACGTGGCCCCCCGCTCCTGGGTCCCCTGACGGCAGAATGGGGTGGGCCGTGCTCCGGCTTGTGGGCTGCTGTGAGGGTCAGGTCCTGCCAGTGACAAAATACTCCAAGGGCTCCCAGCAAGGCTGAGATGGGCGGTGCCTGGAAGCAGGTCGGGGCGCGACCTCTTGGGAGAGGGACCGCGTGGCCTCCCGAGCACGGGACTGTGGCTGTGGGTGAACCCTCCGCGCGGTTCCGCTACAATGTTCCGCGTGAACACAGGAGAACTCCCAAGGGTGCCAAGACTCAGAAATGGCAGGAGGAAGGCCGGAGCTGCCCCGTGCCTGCCAGAGCGCGGAGGCTGCGCCCGCGTCCCCCTTGACCTTTGTGGGCTTCCTGGGTCTGGGCAGTGGGGCAGCTCCCAGGGACAGGCAGCCCAGCCCACCCCCAGCAGGCACTCGGGGCCGTGGCCACGCTGTACCTGTGTGATGATGGCGTCCAGGCCGTTGGCCCCCCAGGCGTAGTCCATAGGGTTTGAGTGCAGGACTCCCCTGGAGGTGGAAGGTGGGGTTCGAGTGGCTGATGGGCAGCTGGGGCAGGTGTGTCTGCCCACCTACTCACCAGGGACCCAGGCTGGGGATGGGGACAGACACCCCCACCCACTCACCAGGGACCCAGGCTGGGGATGGTGGCAGGCGTGATGATGCCATTGACAAGCTGCTGGATGATCCTGAAACAGAGGGGGCCAGTCATGGGGTGAGGCCGCCCCACGCACAGGGAGGCGCCAGGCCTGCCCAGGTCCGTGGTAAGCACCAAGGGCAGGACCAGCATCAACTTCTAAATTAGCTTCTATTGGTTTACTTTACCATGAACCAGGGTCTCGTTCTGATGCCCAGGCAAGAGCGCAGAGGCTCGATCTTGGCTCACTGCAGCCCCGACCTGCTGGGCTTAGGTGATCCTCCCGCCTCAGCCTCCCAAGCAGCTGGGTCCACAGGAGAGCTCCACCACTCTCAGCTATTTTTTTCTTTTTTTTTTTTTTTAAGATGGAGTTTTGCTCTTGTTGCCCAGGCTGGAGGGCAGTGGCGCAATTTTGGCTCATTACAACCTCTGCCTCCCGCGTTCAAGTGATTCTCCTGCCTCAGCCTCCTGAGTAGCTGAGATTACAGGCATGCGCCACTGCACCCGGCTAATTTTTGTATTCTTAGTAGAGATGGAGTTTCATCATATTGATCAGACTGGTCTCAAACTCCTGACCTCAGTGATCTGCCTGCTCAGCCTCCCAAAGTGCTGGGCTTACAGGTGGGAGCCGTTTTTTTTTTTTCTTTTGAGACGGAGTCTCGCTCTGTCGCCCAGGCTGGAGTGCAGTGGCCGGATCTCAGCTCACTGCAAGCTCCGCCTCCCGGGTTCACGCCACTCCCCTGCCTCAGCCTCCCGAGTACCTGGGACTACAGGCGCCCGCCACCTTGCCTGGCTAGTTTTTTTGTATTTTTTAGTAGAGACGGAGTTTCACCATGTTAGCCGGGATGGTCTCGATCTCCTGACCTCGTGATCCGCCCGTCTCGGCCTCCCAAAGTGCTGGGATTACAGGCTTGAGCCACCACACCCGGCCTAGTTTTTTAAAATTAGAGACGGGACCTCCCTATGTTGCTCAGGCTGAGCTTAAACTCCTGTCCTCAAGGATCCTCCCTCCTCGGCCTCCCGGCGCACTGGGACTACAGGGCTGAGCCACCGTGCGGCGACATCAGCCACTTTGAACGATGGCATTTCCAGCAGGGGAGACACACAACCATAGAAGGATCAACCGCCAGGAGAGGGGAGGCCCGGGCTCTGCTCCACCAGCAGCGGGGCCCAGTGAAGGCTCGCCCAGGCTCTGGTCCGGGCCCAAGGGCAGGACGGTGTTTGATGATACACATGTGAACAGCAGTCCCCAGAGTACGTGGGCCTGGCAGGCGCGCTGCGCCCCGCTCTGTGGTCAATGCACACGCCCTGGACCAGCACACTTCTGTCTATGAAGGGCTGTGTGGGGCCCCCACTCCCAGTGGGTCACAGACCGAGGCTCTCAGAGAGTGTGGGGGTCACGGGGCTGGAGCACCTGGCCGGGCGGCCTCTCCAGAGAGCCTTCGGATGACGCCACACTTCCGTGGAACACGTGCTGCTGAATTCTAAAAACCAGAACTTCCGACCTCACGGCGTGGGGCCCTCGCGGCCACCCCCGGGGCCCCCTCACCCTTCCAGCGTGGGGACGCCTTCGTGCCGGCCGGTGGCCCGCCGCGTGGTGAGGCGGGCGCGGGGCTGCCGGGCGCCGTACCGGTGCCGGGACGGATGGTCTCTCTCCCGCCGGCTCTCAGGGTCCCTGCCTTCGTCAGCCTGCGCCCCAGGAGGGAACGTGGGGATCTCAAAGCTGTCATCGAAGATGCCGAAAGCAAACTGTCCGTAGCCCTGCGGCAGCGTGAACAGGTGCTGATCCACGTGCTGAGGAGAGGAGGGGGCGTGACCTTGGGGCTCAGGCTGGTGCAGGGGAGAGGAGGGGGCGTGACCTTGGGGCTCAGGCCGGTGCAGGGGAGAGGAGGGGGCGCGTGACCTCGGGGCTCAGGCCGGTGCAGGGGAGAGGAGGGGGCGCGTGACCTCGGGGCTCAGGCCGGTGCAGGGGAGAGGAGGGGGCGTGACCTCGGGGCTCAG